AACCCTATTTGGGATACCATCTATCAAAACGACGTAAAACCTTGTCACGTTTTGAGAAGGAGAGTAAATATTCTAGTGAACTCCTACCTATTGGAGATCGATGTTAGAGATCGAGAATAGGTGCAACTCCAGTTCAGCTGCAGGTACGAAGGCAGAACTTATGTATTAATGTTAAGAAAATAATCTATGAATACTAATGCATCGGGGTTTAATGCTGCATTTAGTAAGTCAGAAGCTCTTTGATGACGATTACATTCATGTCATTCTTGAACGTTTAACCGTCTATTTGAAGTCTCGATCTTATTCAGTGTAGACTAAATTTGAGTAGAGATTGTTTCGTGATACCCATGGTCAGTTTTTTTAAAAAAAACAACATGCTTTTAAGGATTATAATCCATTTGTGAAAGAGGTTTCATTGATGTAATTCATACATGTGATGAGGATCTCAGCTTTCTCAAAAGAAACACATAATTCACCAATACTTGGAATATTGAGCTGACCACACGTCTTGTCGTTCGACTTATATATAACATTCTTTATGTAAAGATGGTTATTGTTTGCCCAATTACTTTGTTGACAGTCTCTGTTGCTTTTGTCAAATGTTAATCTACTATAGTACCTTGGTAAAATAATAAGCAAACAAATAAATAAACTTTTTATTGTAACCAGACGTGATCGAAATGTGCAAGAAAATATCGAACACGATATAATAATTCCAGTAAATAGACATAAACAGTTTGATAAACAGTTTCCACCGTGTAAGCTGTTGGACATGAATGTGCTGGATTTATGACATCCAAGCGGCTGTCAAATTGGTATCAGCAGACTTTCCTGAATTAGAAGAAATACCAGACACGATAGTCTTGCTGACAAAAGGGTTGACGCGTCAAAGACAGGCAGACGTGGGTTGTCAGTTAGTCTGTTCGATCTCACTTGCCTATTGCTTACTGAGGCGGATAAAGCCCAGCTTACAGAAGTTAGAGTCCCTGGCCGTAGATCAAGTAGTCTTTGTATCTTTCAAACTCGTTGCTTGTATCAAATGTATCTCTATTTATTATTATTTGCTCTTTAGGTACCATTAATTAATTTTTAATCTCAAGTTTCTAGTAAGTATGATATTTCAAATCTATATGTGTTATTGTTATATACAGTAATCTGTTAAACAAAATATTACATTTTCTAGACGCGATTTCTTAGTATCTGACTTAATTTGACCTTCATACAATAAAAATTTTACTAACTGACTGTTTATCTCGGATTTCGTTTAGTTATTATTTTGCGCAACGTTAAGAATGTCGAACACCAGGTATAATTTAAATAAGTCTTTTACGATGTACAGTACCAAGAGAATTTATAATTTCCTATCATTTGTGACGCAACCAACGTGACTTCATAACGCAAAACAAACTTTGGTGCAGGATTTGGTTTCACACTAATATCGTGCATCCTGCTTTGGGATTTTGGTTAACTCTTCGTGTTTAGGTTTTGACCCAATGATAATAAAATCTGTGTCCATTAATAATTGTCGGCTCTGAAACTAACCAATGGGGTTAGAGAATAGAATCTGATCAACCAATGAAAGATCATGTTTCCGCATATTAACGGTTGACTGTTAGGAGATCGACAATGATGTAACACAGGGCAAGAAACACAGTCGCTGATAAATGCCGTCATTAACAGTTAGTTGACTTGACGGAAACTTGCAGATCGCAGATTATGAGCTGGTCAGTATAACTTGATCAAACTTTATGCATCAATCCCGAAATTATAACCCTGTTCTATATTGCTTAGGAAGGGCATTGTCAAGTCAGTCAACCGTCTTCCTCACAACATACGAACTAAGACTGGTCTGGGTGAATGTGCGTGTTATTTCTCTGCTAAGTGTGGCTGTCTAACATAGGTATTTCGTTGAAGTTGAAGGGGAAAAAACAATAAATTTTTAGACGAAAAAGTATTCGAAAGGCTGCGGTTATGGAGTCCCGTAAATCACATACTCTGTTACTTTAACTCTGACGCACCTATATTATTTTTCAAACAGCAACCCGCGACTACAAATACGAAGAAATTGCTTCAGCTTTCGATGCATTGCAAAAGGACGCTTATAAACTCCACGATGAAGCTCGGAAATTTCGAAAATCTGTTTCCGGTATGTCAATGGCTTTTGCTTGTTTCTACAGAGTGTCCGACTAATGAATCCGCACAAATTTGTGTAGATTTATTTCTTCATGGAGCAAATTTCGCCGAAATCTTGGTTGAAATTTATAGTCCAGTAAATGCAGATGATCGGGGCGAGGGGCCGGTTACCAGACATCCGCAGACAAGTTCGCAAGCGATGAAGGCTGTGCAGGAGTATGCGACACAGTCGAAAGAGCTACAAGAGACTATTGCTGCCGAACTGGTACTGTTATTAAATTTATGCATTACTGGCTTGGTTCAATTGGACAAATATCCATAAATCTGTCCTCTGTTATAGGATGCCATTGATGATTACGTCGTTCGACCTGTGGACGATCTCATTTCGGTAACCAAGTCCATAGCAAAGACAATAAAGAAGCGTGACCATAAACGATCGGATTATGATAGATACCGTAAAAGTTACAAAAAACTAAAGGAAAAGAAGGACAGGTCGTCTACTGAGGAAAAGAATCTATCAAAGGTGCAATTAAAAATTCAAGTTCTTTTTTACATACGAATGTACTGTATGCTTTCTCTTCTTTTTTGTAACTTGTCTGTTATGATTGTAGTTGGAGGATCAAGTCGACCAGGCGACCGCTTTATTCGATCAATATAATGACGCACTCAAAGAACAACTTCCTGCATTTTTTGAGTATTGTGGTGAATTCATGGATCCTATAACTTATAACTTTTATAACATACAAATGAGAATATATGGAATCTTCTATCAAAGCATGGAGCAAATAGTATCTTTGGGATATTTCGACTTCGAATCAGACATATTAGAGCGATATAGGGAAAAGATAGGAGATATGCAGTCGCATTTAGAATCTCTGGATACCTTGAAAGGGAAACGTGGCAGTAGCGGTAAGTGACTTGTTGATACGCGATTTCAGTTTGCCATTTTTATGGATATTAATTAATGTTTAATGCTTTTGTCTCCGTGACTCTTTGTAGCTGGACGTCTTACTACAAATGTCGGTGGAGGATCAAGATCGAATACGAGGTCAGATTCAAAATCGCCGGGACCAGTGTCACGAGGATATTCTCGGAATGCAGACAAGGAGTTGAGTAGTCGCAAATACGATCGCGACCACGACGATGACGACCACGACCACGACCACGATCCACCGCCAGCGTATAGTTCGGTGGTATCGACATCTCCGCCTCGACAAGGAAGTTCGTACAATATTTCTTCGAACCCGAAACTGTTTCCCGTAGCCACCCCTCCCCGGCCACCCGTAAAACCAAAACTAGCCAATTATGTAACTGCACTGTACGATTATGAAGCACAGGCAGATGGCGATTTGTCATTCAAGAAGAACGATAGAATAGAGGTGATAGAACGAACAGCAGACACTAATGGATGGTGGACTGGGAGATTAAATGGAAAAACAGGTTTATTTCCTGGTAAGTGTAACGATGTCGTTTTTTGATCGTGATGATCGTGAATCTTACAAATCAAAATTGTTTACTATAGGAAATTACGTAGAATGAATGAGAGTGCAATTGTTATTCCATTGCTTGATGTATCTATATTCTATTATTTGAGCACAACGTTTGGTATTCAAAGGCTTTTAGTGATTTAATTCAGGGATAGTAAACTATCCATAATACGATGTTCATTTTTGAATTTTGGGTATAGACTCCCTCACACGGTTTATCCAGCCGCATTCGATTTTTAGCGAGCGCAATAATATGTCCTTGTTTTATTTATTCTTCAATTAAGATCAGCAGTCAACAATTGCCTTTTCCTTTCACCGACAAAATAGAAATCCTTTGTTGAATGTGGAGAGTCTTCTATAAATGTAATAATGTAAAGAGACTAAATGATGAATAGGACCCAAGATACAGGTCATCAAACTAGTTCAAAGGTAAGGAATTCTGATTGAACGTCATTTCGTTCTATTGAGCGGACCACGCCAAAGAATCGGATTGGACACCCGTGCCAAAATAACGACTCATTCGTCTATATTTTATCGAGAATCCTGGATTATATCCAACTAATCAAGGAGGTGCTCCTAATAACTCATCCCCAAGACTTCTGGAAAGCCAACCTACTCGTCTAAACGACTTTTTTCCCTATCCCACCGCCACTAGGGAATCGTAAAGCAAGAATTACATATAAATAAGCTTACTAATATAACTCATATTTCTTGCTGGTAAAGTTGACCGTTTATCGGGTTCAATATTATACATTGACTCGAATAAAAGGTTATATTCTGTTCGCCAACGATACAATCCAATTGGTCTTGCAATAGCCACGACGTACCTACATAATTACTCTGACCCACTCTTAGTCATTAAAAGCATTAAATTAAAGGAATGATTTACCTACAAGAAAGCACCCATAGTGTGTAACCAATCAATTACCAGTACATGTAACTCATATTTGTTGGATTCCCGCAATTGAAGACGGTTATTTTTATTGTATGGGTCCTCGTTCGATAACCATTGAACTATATATCCTTCCAAAAAACTCGAGGGGAGGGGGGACCAACCGTCGGATCGAGACTAAACCCGGCAGTCTTGACGTAACTGTCAGAGGTGTCTTGTTACGTAATCAATATAATAATAGGGCTTGAAACCAATCATAGTCGCGCAATATAATTTTTCTTACTTTTTTTCAGTCTCCCCCCTGTTCGTAGGGAAGAGACTTATTTTCTTAACTTCCAAGAGCATTTAGAAGCATGTAATTTAGAAACTTACAAATAAATTTAAAAATACAATTTGTACCTCGTATGTGTGTATATGAATTATTACTCTATAGAAGAAGAAAGAACCATACGAGTAAAGGTTGGTTGCATGTAAAGGAATGCTCCATAATCTACATCAGAATATATATATTATTTACAAACAAAAGCTATGAACAGAAAAGTTTTTTGAACGGTTCATCATAGAATTGTTCCTCTTCCATAGGTATGTTTTGAATCATAGATACAAAGTCGGATGTCATATTTTCACTTATGGGTTTTCTTATCGAGATCATCAACAGTAGTCTCTTTACGAGATTTATTATTATCAATTTGGCACTTTGTACGCGCTTGGCCATCGACTTCCGCATGTTGTGAAGCAGTTGGAAAGCCATCAAGTTCGCGATATTGGGCTTCTGATAACGTCGCTTTCTGTACATATTGTTGCTGCTGCTGTTGCTGTTGCTGTTCTTGCTGCTGTTGCTGAAACTGCTCTTGTTGCTGTTGTTCTTGCTGCTGTTGCTGCAATCGAGATAACGCATGTTTCCGCGCCATTTTGGCAAAATCTAGATTATTCAGTAAATAAAAATTGGCATATTGTTATCATTTTCATAAAAATAAAGGAAACAAAAAAGGTGAGAACGATACGAACGCAATCCGCATGCATTACACAGGGTCCTCGCACCGTCTGGACCTCGCCGCCACTCGGGCGTCTCAGATATGTGGCATGAGTGACATCTACCCGGAGGTGCAGCACGCTTCTGTGGAACAATGCAAAAATATTATGTGAGTACGGAACAAAGGGTCTTATGCAAAAGGCAAGATTTATACTATGCATGCATGTTCACAAACTGTCATCCACAAAAGTAAATCAACACGATCTTTGAACCTTTATAAGACATTGATCAGTGGTAGTTGCAATAACATTTTTACTTACGGTCCTTTTGCGGTATTTTCGCCCTGAAGGATTTGAATCTGCCTCTTGCTTGCAAAAGCCATTCTTAGCATTGTCCTCTCGCTTGAAGAGTTAACATATGTAATGGGAGTTAATCTTTGATTTACAAAAATTATTTGGAACTGGCATATAAATAAATGAAATATATATGTGTGTGTATACCTCGCTACTAGTTCTTTTCATTTCGGTTTTCAATGCTTTCAAAACTTGTACAATGTCATGTGCCCTGACTAGTAACTCGTCTACAGCATTTTCCGGCTGGAGCGGGAGTCGAGTCGTTCCTCCTGATTGCCCATTGGTCCAAGGATTAGAGTACAACTGACTATGAAATTGGGTTTTTATTTCGCCAATATAATGAACTGCAGTTTGATTAAACGCGACGACTTGCTCCCTTATCTATGTAACAGAATGGAAATTATTTGTGTTCATATCTTGAGTATCAAAAAATTTTCATTCGAACAGCATTGTACCTTATCCAGTTCAAGTATTGTTTTCTCATGAGTCCAATTCGACGATGAATGATGATTATACGAACAATTGGATGAGAGAATACTAGAAGATGGATAGACCGGTGCTTTCGGTTCAATGCAAGGGTAGGCTGAGGCTACAGAAGGTTTAGTCGGCAGAGGCGGAGTCTGTAACTGCTGCCGGGAATGAGCTTGAAGAGAAAGCGTGGATGAGGATGGTGGGCTGTTCCAACCAGAATGCGTCTGCGGGGACATGTTTAATGGAACAAAATTTGTAGAATGAGAGTCCGAGGCCCGCGACGATTGCTGGTTAGCATTATAAGGGATTGCAGCTGGTGGTGGAGAAGGAGAAGGAATGTAATGTGGATGCTTGGGTTGATGTGAATGCGACGCGGAATTAATACTGATCGAAGGAAGTCGAATATCAAGTTTTTTAGTTGCGCATGCAGGAGGCGATAGAGGATGGCTGCTAACGAAATCTACACGGTGATGAGGAACAAGAGTTGTTGATTGCCTGTTCTCTTGTCCTGAAAAAGGAATGTTGAAAGGAGTGGTGATTAGTCTCGGTCTGTCTTCATTTATTTTTGTATGATGTGAATCTTGGGGTGGTAACGATAATAATTTCGTTGGGGGAAGCGTGCCTCGACTGGGAAAACCAAATTAACGTAAAAAGTGTTAGCCAAAATCCATGCGACTTAATTCCTCAACCTAGATAAGAGGAGGGGGGAAAAGTCTTACGAGTCTGTGTGTGAGGAGTGGTCGTAAGGCGGTGGAGAGAGAGTTGGAGGCAGAGCCGAGCACATTGATGCAACGTCCATTTTTTCTTCTCTTATTTGGAGATAAGAGTTGTAGGAAAGGAGCACACAAAGTGTAAGAAAGTTGCGTGATAGGTTACGACCGCTTGGTCAAAGATATATATGCTCGAACGCAATGAGGAGTAAGATTGAATTTAGTTGCATACCTGTATATTTGTATTATTATAGAATATGTACAAATCTAGATTGTTTGTAATTTGGGGTCGCGCGTGCGGGATTATACGAAGGGACGTAAACAACAAACGGGTTACAGGACAGGGTAAATGGGGAATATAGAAGAAAAAAAGAAGTCAAGTTGAAAAAAGCCGGAAATCACAGATGTTATATATCTCAGCGTAAAATGATACTCGTGCATATATATTTTCCTTTTTCTTTTTTGAGTTGTGATGGACATATAAGAATGCGGCACAATGTAGGACAGTATAATATAAGTTAATGTATAAAATAGTTTGATGCAATATTATATTAGCATACTACATTATTGTATAATTACGAGTAGTGCGTAAGTGTTCGGGTAAATGTGTAACAATCGAAATGAGTGCCCCACTCGTTCATTGTGAGATCGACTGCTGGATCTCTCGTGTAACAAGCTTTAGATATAACTAATATGTGAATGTGTTAAATTATTGTGTGTTGAGTGGTTATGTGAGATCACCGTATGTTCCCGATAAGGTTTGCAAATCCCTTTATGTTGGGGGATAATATTATAATGATAAACAAGAATGGTGACAACAGGCAAATATGTATATTGGGATAGTATTCTCAATTTAGTGAATGATTTGACATTAGACAGTGAATGGATGTAGAACGTTGCACTCACCAATTTCTAATTAGATACTGATCTGACCCTCGGGGCGATAATACACACAACTATGATTGTTGATATATTGCTACGAATTTGTAAACGTTCGACAAATGCTGGAAAAAAGAAAAAACGCTGCAAACCAGAAATGTCAGCATTACAACCCCCCCCAACCATGCTTCTATGATATCTCATATAGTTAAGTGTATTTCATCCATGTGTATATGTGTTCGTTCGTTTATCTGTAGCTGTATTAGTAATAATATAATAATACATGATTTAAGAATATTAACACAACCAAAACAATATTGTTATTTGGGTTAATAGGCACATTTCTAAGCATTGATGCATCTAGCTTTAAATGTATGCTATAAAGTATTGTTGTTACTTTGCACGGGTACTTCCCAATTATATCAATTACTATCACGTATGTTTCCTCGTGGCAGCAATTAAATCCACTTTCTGCATTGAACATCTGACTGTCTATTGACCAATTAAATCTGATCGGCAATGTGGGTGTATGCTATGCCAAAGAAGGTAAACAAACAATTACTTTCCTTAAAAGAAAAAACTGGTTCGCGTTCAACGTAATACTTGGCAAAGTATTGCAAACTAGAAACACCCCCTCTCCGTCCCAACTTATCTATTCGCCTATACTAAAAAGGCTGTCCACACGAATATCATTGTAAAATGATCTCCTTTTCCCCCGCCAAGAACTTTATGCGAGATTACTATTGTTATCCTTAATATTTATAAGATGATATGTCACGTGAGTAAGTTATTACAATAACGTAATAGCTGACTGTTTATATTAAGACTAGCCTTTATTGTATACATACAAATTGTAAATGGCACCACAAACGAAGCCACACATAGAATATGCTATAAGGCGCAGTACTGGTACCGTAATATCCGTAACCGCATACGGTAATTACCGTTATCACATACATCTACGATAACTTGCTTGGCAATTTACATTTATGTCTAGGCGACCGTTGCTCATTACTTTATCTGCTGCAAAGATTAAGTCACACACAGATGCTCCGCATAAAGACATCGAATATGTAGTACGTGACTATATAGAACAGATGCATGTTGGTGAAACTAGAGTGCGTTTATTTGTGTTCGAGAGTGCCCTGTGCCATTCCCAATTCGTTTTTTAATAATTAATTATATAGATTTACATGCAGTCTAATGCTGTCTACTCTCTACTGTCTCTGAATTGTCACTTTTTTTACTTGCTTTACTGTATCATTAACCAATTTAAATTGTTCTACTTAACAACTCTATTTTGAGAAACGATGAGCTATTGTTGCTAGTTAAACAGGAATTTTTATTTGAGCAAAAGGTAGGAGCGGGAAATAATACAGCAGTATACAAGGAGTTGCGACACATATTATTAAGATCACAATTCTGAGAGCAGGCGTTGTTTTTGTTGACAAACTGGCCTGTGCTAGTATGCACAACATTCGAGTTATTAGTAATCGTATACTCATTCTAACAGCATACAACAAATCTAATCAACACAACGAACAAGATCAGCCTACCCGACAGACAGTTGAACAAAGATAGTTAGGGAGTGTTTCCACCTTACAGGTTATATAAATTATTCTAACCGTAATGTTATTGGATATTATTAATCTTAATCCAATATTGACAATTTGTCAAACATCAACAAACAATTTGTGTTCCCCCCATCTACAGGACGTGTGCAAAAGTTCCGGTGTTAATTCAGGTCTTGTTAAAAAAAGTGTTCCTGTAAAATGCTCTTATGTGAAACTTGCATTAAAAAGCAACTTTGTTACAATTTCTATGCTAAAACGCTTTTTTTCATCGCACAATGTTGCCAAATTCAAAAATTGCTTTATCTGCTAGTAGACATTAAAGACTGCGCCATATAAATAATCGAACAAACCCCAAAGATATAAGAGGTTCTACATTTACCAAGCCAGTATCAAATGTTGCTGGTAGAACAAGTTTGCAGATAGTCAATAAAGAGATGAAGAGACAAATGTCTTTAGTAAACGTTTACCCGACCATACTGAAAAAAGTTGTTCCGAAATTTTTTCGTAACTTGGTTTTTGTACACATTATTAATCATATACGTTAGTCTATTTTCTGATAAAGTGTTTACGGCACCTATCACAACATAGGGATCTGCGATCGATGACACACAATCTCTTATTGTGCCATCTGTAGCATTGGAGATCCTTTACATTGATAAGCGGTCATTACGATATCTGACGTTATTTACTGTCACACCATGCGTATACTTGGCTGTGTACCCAAATTATAAAGCATGCCAAGTAATGTATGTGTTCACAATAATACAGCATCGCATTCTCCCTTTATAACATACATATATGTACAGAAAAATAGACTATACGATGAACAGGTTCGATTCCTTAGATCAGTGCACGATGGGCATGATAAGATAGCAAAAGGGGTAAGTGGACGTTACATTTAAATATAAAGTTGATTCTCCCAAAACAAGCATATAAAGATCAACGACACTCGATCTTTGGAAATACCTTCGCAGTTATGTTAGTTAATCGATAGTGTACAAAGCACAAAAAAGAATTAGGAATAAAAGAAGAGTGAAACACATGGTTTGTAGTTACTATGACTATACATACGTGGAGTTTAATTCTCTGATGACTAAAGGCGTGGCGGTGTACAAGTCCAAAATATATAAGGAATTTAACATCACAATAGACTGGTCGGGGACCTGGCTCTAGAACCTTTGACGTCAATTTAATACAAAGAGCAATTTTAATATTGTTTTTCGAGTACGACCTGAAATTATAAAATCATAATCTGCTTATTTAACATGATAATAGAGGCAAACAAGGAATATATATTACAGGCTATGTCTATCTGGTTGATTGAATCTATTATATAGCAATATAAAGTAGGATGGTAATGAGAAGGAGGAAGGAAGACCAGAGTGTACACAACCGCATCCTTCTATGGAAAGTTCAGATTTATTTATGTCACACAAAATAACACAGGTTCATCTCACAGACTGTAAATGACGGTAGAAACTGGTCACTCCTTCTCGAAACAACATCATCAATTAGGTTCAAATAATATATATAGAAAGGAAAAAAAAATACTACAACAATGGGTTTCATTAGGAATTTGTTATGTACAGCCAATCATCGTCAGTTTGCTTTGAATTCTGCATCGCATCGCATTTATCAGTTACTTTAGCCACTGCATTTGGGGGCAACAAAACCAGACAAAGTAATATTGTGCACTTGGCGTTATATTATTTAACTTATCCTGTTTATCCCTATCTTTTATCTATGATGGGACACAGAAGAAAATGCTCTCTCCTCGTTTTTGCTAGGTAGCAGGAGTCATATTTGCAGTTTTGCTCTTTCGGAAATAAATGTGGATGGTAATCGTTGACAAGGCAGCAGAAGCTTTTTTTTAACAGCAAGCCATAACATTCTCAACTCTTTCCACATCGGCCAATAGTATTATTATGTATAATATAACTACTGTACTTTTTCCCGGCAGCAATGTCCGTCTTGATTGGCTCGAGGTAGTTCTTGAACTCGTTTGCCTTCTTTTTGGTAGAATGAGAGAGCCTCCGTCAAGGCTTGCTACAAAAGTATCCTAGTTTATGCTTATGATCGTTACAATTGTACAATAAAAACTGTCCCTTTAGTACTGGCCGTTACCAAACCGTTTACCTGTTTTCTTAGGGCTGTATTAATATAATTTATCTGGAAATATGGTTATCAAAATCAACCGAGGAGAGAATTGTTGCTTCAACCAAAGTTTTGAGTTGGGAGAAGTAAGCTTTTCATACACTGTGTACTTTTGGTTTCACTTGACATGAGTTATTTTGATGGAGTTTAAATACCTTATTTTAATCGCAAAAGCCTAATTACTAATGTGAAAATTATTCAATATTAATATTCTATTTTTCTGTTAATTTCTGACTTTGACAAAAAAATTATATTCTTGACATTCAATTCCTTTAAGAGATAAAAATGGCAAGCCATTCCTTTTCTTAGACCTCAGATATAGTAGTTAAACGCTCAAAAGAACTGACTAGCAATTAATACATTAACTGCAGTCAAATTCTCATTGTTATGATAATAATAATGTATTTGGGCAGACTGCAACGAAACCAGACAAAGTGAACAACACAACTGTGCATGCCTCTACCATTATGCTTTATTTCTTGCTTTGTACCTAGTCTCCAAAGATGGATCCACGAAATGCAAAACCCTCCCGTCAGTAAATAGCTAGAATGAGATTTCAAGGCAGATTATCTTTCATGTGTTACCGAGACTTGAGGTGTTGCTATTCTTAATCAAGTAAAAGTGGTTAACCTGATGAGAATAGCCGACAAGGATAAGAAAAAAATTTTTTTTCTTTCTGCTTTCGGATGCTTTCAGTCAAACAGCTTTTGATATTTGAAGCAATGAAAAATTCCCTCTTTTCAATGAAGTCTCGAATATACAATGTGTAAAAAAAAATGACAATTCTTCATTTGCTCATTGCTCAAGAATGGATATATAAATGTGCAAACAGAAAATTGTATGTTAAAGCTTGAAAGTAACTGTAATAATTAATATTTATCAATCCTATTCCTTTATTTTGAATGACTTGCTACATCTGCTCTCATGGAGTTTGATAAATTAATTAAGAGATTGGGGTAGCTAAGAGAAGACTATTTTCATTATCTATATCCGACTTAGCCAAATATCGTGATATTGTCATATGGGGCATGGTGCAACAAAACCAGACAAAGTGAACATTCTATTATTAATTATGTGACATAAATGAGAAACTGATGTGGTTAATAGTTAACTAATTTGACTAATAACATTTTGATTATCACAGCTGTAACGTATTTGTAAATTACAGTTTTAAATTAACATCATGCCAAAACGTAACTTTATCTAGTAACCTTCTATTTAAAATTAATATAGGACTATCTTATATAAAAACAAAATATATGAAATTAATTTACATTAAATCCACCATGGAAACAACACATGATGAACCAAGAAAGAAACGAAAACTAGAAGAAAGGTAAAGGAAAGCAGTTTAACATAGAAGCTTCCCACCAAGGCCTCCACTGATCAAGTAATCTGTCACCAAATAATCATTCCTTGTACTCGTCGACTTGTTGTTAGTAAAAGACTGCTGAGTGTATTCACTGCTTTAACACAATTGTAACCAAAAGAGTCAAAGATTTTACAACAAAATTCAATTTCCATAAGCATAACTTTAATATCTTTATTGTAAAATATGTTTATTAAAACACTATTAAAAGCTTAAAAAAGAGAGCTAATTTAGCAGGATATGTGAACAATAACTATGTTTAAACCCTCCTTTTACTGTCTTATCTTCTAACTTTTTTTCTTCAAATCCATCTTATTAATAATAAGTCACTTATAATTATTGTTCCAATTATTAGTCAAAATCAGAGCGGGAAAGATTCTTGGTCTTACTTACTACTTGGTATTGAGCCTGCTGAAGAATGCCTTGTTCCATTGCTGTTACAAAATTCTCAATTTCTTTTTTACTAGTGAAGGTAGTTATTGTTGGCCTAATTGTTTTACTGAGAGATTAAATTTTTTAAAAGAGATGTTACGGTCGGGAATTTAATAGGGTTTGGGAGAACGATTTATCTTTCTGCGTAGGTGTGTTTGCCGACCGGGAGATGTTACCAGATTTAGCTCGTACTATCGCCCTTACTACGATAGTTGTGCAATTAAGACTGAATTAAGCCTACAAGTGACCTTAATTATTTATGCGCCTCCGAGTTTCAAACACTCGTGAATACAAATAAGAATAACAACAATTACTTTTTAAAAATATACAGGGCTATCTTCGATTTGTTTTTCGACTGTCGGTATTCGTCGCTTGTCTTCACTAAACCAATTAAACAATAACCGTCTCGATAATTAATTATGAACTATCGTTCCGTTATTCACGTAGGACAGCTTACTAGCTTGATCAAATCAATGCTATTCCAGCTTAAGTGAGCCGTTTATTGGAGTGTCCGGCCTAATAATTAATTATTTCGACGATAGAAATTAAATGGGTATTGATAAATAAGTATTTCGGGAGAATACTACTAAGATCAGTAATATTTATTTTTATTCGAATATTAATATTCGCATTCAACACGTAACATACAACGTGACCTTTTGACGATGGAAATTGAGCTACTTATATATCTTTTAGCGTCGCAGAAAAAGTGAAACGCTTTTAGACTACTAATTCTATGAAGATTAATTGAATAAAGTATAAATTAATTATGGCATTTGCGCTGTCGCAGGAAAAATGAAACGCTGCGCCTGTCGCAGAAATTTTAAAACGCCGTTACTAATTTTAACTTTTGTATTACTGAGCTAAATTCATGGGTTTGCGGGGGAAGATTTTACCATGTGACTTACTTATCTGATTTATCAGATCAGCTTGCCGTAACAAAGTTTATTTGATTCTTCCTAGTTGTAATAAGTTGAGTGACTGTTTTTTAAGTGATTGATTGTCATCAGTTGGTTGGGAAGAGAGTTGATTAGGTTTGTCATTTTTTTGTTTAGGTTGCTCCTGAGGTGACTCTGAAAGTTCTTCCTTTTTGTTTCCTGGATTGGCAGACCGGGAATAGTAATAATAGCCTTCATTCAACAGGTTCTTCTGATTTTAATTTTTTTCTCTCTTAGTTTGTTCTTGCTTTTTATGCTTTGCGTCATTGTCTGAAAATAAGTTTGAGAATGCTTTATTATCTAGATAATGTTCCCATCCTTGTTCTTATTTTTGTTGTTGAAGAATATCTAGAATGGATGAAAAATTTACCCTTTTACTTTGGCTAATTCAACGGCTTCTTTGCACCCTTTTCTCTACTCAATCAAACCTTCTTTAGATGCAGAAATTAATTGCCTCTTAATTGTATTGTCTTTATCAGCATCTATTTGGTTTTTAAACAGTGATCCACTCCTTCTATATCCAAAAAGTAAAAAAAAAGTATTCTGCGCCATTTAATTCGTTTAAAAAGAATAATTATTGAAATATTCCAAATACTTTATTATGATTAAACTTGTCAATGATTGATAACTTTAGTATTAGTCAAATTTTTTCTTTTCTTAACAGAATTTAAGAAAATCAATATAAATTTCTAGTTCTTTTGAATCCTCATCTGGTAAATTTTCAACAATTTTTTCTGTTCTCCAAAGGAAAACAAGTATCAATTTCAGTGGAAATAACATAATTATGCTATTTGCCACATTATCATATTCCACTGCCAGAATGGGGTTGTCATCAATTTCGAGATTTTCCTGTATCGGTATTAAATCTCCCACCAAATGTAATAACAACTTATATGAATCAGCAAGTGTTTTTCCATCGGGCTCGTGTTCCATTTGCTTTAATGTATTACTATTAATACCAAGTTTTTCTTGAATTGCTATTATATCCTTCTTCTTATATAAAAGCACTTCATATAAAGGAACAAATGTTTCGCTTTGATTAGATTTATTATTAGTACTACTTATCATATTTGCTATAATAAAATATCTTGACTAGTCAAATATATTTAATGCAGAAAATAACGCGTAAATGTACAAATTGAGTGAATATAGCAAATGAATAAAAATTCAATCTGAAAATAATTATAACCACGGAGCGATGTCATGTGTTTTAAATCTGCGAATCAGATATCAGCATAGAAGTTCGTGGAACATACCAACAAAAGCACCTGATGGGCTTACACGAAAATCTTTATTTAACCAGTGATCATCTGATATATTTACATTTTAAAACCGCTAACTCTATATAATTATTTTCGCTATATAAGTATCCCATCAGAAAGAGGATCCTCGGCCTTTAAACCCCATCGCGCTCGTCTCAAGTCTAAAGAAAAAATAATCGATTTTATTAATAACATTTTATCTCAGGTATAAGTCAACATCGCGTAGTGAAATGCCTACCGATATACCCTCTCCTACAATCAGTGGATGACGGTGGAACTCGAATCTGATTGGCTTTCGGTTTGTCGAGTCTAACCTGGCGATTTAATCCATGAGCATCGTTTAGGTCTTGTTGAGGGATTATAGGAACAACCAATCCATTCACATCTCGCTCAATTCCATCCTTTCGATCTTTGTAAATCTCGGTAAAATTACGCAGGTGGTGGAAGAACATACTATGAACGAAATAAACGATACGGTGCCGGATCCCTCGAGTTACGGGAAAATTTCCATGGAGTAGAAGGCGGGAAGAAAATGCCACGACTTGTCCTGGGCAAAGTGGAACGATAATCTGGAGTTGCGGGAAGCATAGTTCACCCCCCTTGCAAATCAATAAAAATGACGAAGGATAAGTATACGCATCCCAAATTCCATATGCGAAATGATGATTGATTGTCAAAAAAAATACATATTCGAATATTGTTTTATTGATAGAAGGGCAGGAGACGTGACACGCCAAAAATAAAAAATGTGCTAATCGTACGTCACACAGCTCCTATTCTTCGGCAACCGATATCGTACGAATCCGACAACACTATACATCATATCCACTCATCATCCAATTCTGAATTACGTTCATTCTCGGAATCTTGAAACTGAGATCTCCGGCTGAGAAATCTATTGCAATAATTCGAATCCCAACATTGCCCTGTGTTAGAATGGAATCATACTGCTACTGAGAAATAGATAGGCTTTAGCCTGGGATATATGTTAACGTTTCGATGTTACTGATTGCAATCAAGTCTTGGTCAAAACATCTGAAATCATGTTTTGCAGGAATGCAGTTATTGCAAATTGATTTTTTTTATTATTCAAAGCTATATTATTATCTTAAACGCGCTTGTTAGGCTGTACTAAAATAAGTAGCTAATAATAATCTTCCTATTTCGTAATATACTCACATACAATTCCATTCTCGTCAAACCATCTCACCTGATCTACCCCTTTAACTAAGCGTTTCGATGCTTCTTCAGGAGAATTACCAAGTGGCCATAACATTTGACTCTCATTTTCCCATAAAAAAACACGATCATAACAGTCTAAAAAGATCATTCCATACTCTGTCTCCCCGATAATAATTATATGATCAAAGCCGAAATTAGCAACACATCTTATATGATAAATTAGTTCTTTAGGATCACTATCAAGAACTTCATAATCAACCAAGGTTGCAATACGAGAATTATCTTTAAATGCATCAACTAAGATGAGCAAATCGTTGCAACGCGACGTTCTTCCATTTTTTCCTTCACATAATTGCACTTGAGACATGGTTGTAGGATTTTCGGTAATTGATTTTCCTTTACTGGTAAAACGATAGTCCGCGTGTACAAGGTGACACGTTTTCCCGGGGACAATCTTTTTCCAACCATCGTCTCCCAGGGAACCGATTCTGAGCAGTTTCCCAAAGAATGCCTGCATTTTCCCAATTGTTCCAGTGTTAGGACAGTACACCTTTAGCGTTCAATCGTAGGTGTAAACAAATAAAGAACGCAAAACTCCAGTGTTAGGACATCCTTCACGTTCTTCGCCCAACGTAATATCTGTATTTTCTCCATCCTTGTATTTACCACCTCCGTTATCACTGATACTGATGGCTGACAACGAATCGACGAACGCATTATGAATTTCACTTCGCCTTTCCGTTTCGATACTTGATTTGAGTATGTGAGGTTCACTGTTGCCGGACGCAATATTGGATCTGGCTGTACTATCATTATACTCTGTGCTAAGCGTTCCTGACTCTCGTATAGATATTTGATTTGCTCCTCTACTGTCATCTTCTTTGAGGGCCGATGCGCGTAATTCCAAAGGAGACACCAAGCATCGTAAACCGTAATAATTGGTATCGGTTGAAACTTGTCTAGGAATACTGTTTTTCCTGTTGGACCGCAAGGTGTCAATTCCCCCTTCGTTCTATATAAAATATGATTTTTGAATTCGTTTAAGCTTTTTTTTTCTGCACTTTCTCTCCTTACCTGAAAGGCACCACGAAATCGGCAATCAGTTCCTTCTGCCATGGTTCATTTAAGTTATTTAACCAGCTGAACGAACTTAAGAAATAGAAGTAAATATAGAATTGCTCACAGCCTCAAACTAGTGAACAGACTAAAGTCATTAAACATACTTTATTTGGTTTTATACAAATCGTGCAATCATGCTTTGAGTATTACGTCATACTTCAGAGTAGTTTTCATGTGATCAAATCCAATCATTTCACGAGATCAAGTGTAACATAAAAATCGAGGAATCGAATTTTTATTATGGCTGTTGGTCACTAAGAAAAATGCTCAACGTGGAAAGTTGCATATGCAGATGGCCTATTAAACCACAATAACAAGTTAAAAAAGGCTACAAGTCGAATACAAATTTTTTTTACGTAATAAATCGTATCACGTGAAAACTACTCCGCTTTAGCCTTCCCCCAAAAGGAATGTCTCGAAATCATGTGGAGCTTTTCCTACGGTCGCCATTAATTTTAATGTGATCAAATGAATCTCGGATTATTTTAGCTTCTGAAAACGATGTTTGTAGTAAAATTAGAAATTATTATTATAGAAATAACAACAGAAATAGTTTGCGGAAAACGCAAGAGATTTCTAACTTGGAAATTTCTTTAGATAATGAAGAATTCAAATTATATGATTTCATTACTATATCTGGGAAAGGAAAATCAACAATTCGAATCGGGCAAATGATTTCTTATGAGTAAATTTTATTCCATTATTCATTAAATAATAAAAGATTTCATTATATTATCTAATCCGTTGAAATATTAATATTGACAATTTTGATTAATAGATGTAGTTAGTTACATCTTCGTTTTTATTCAAATTTAACCAGATTAATACAAGAAGAAAGATAATAACAATATGATAAAATGAAAGAAAAAAATATTGTTAGAGCTATCATTATCGAGCGGATGTGACTCGATAAAGTTGATCAAATCCGAATACAAGTTGTTTTCATCTGTTAAGATGATGTTATATCTGTTTGATCTGGCTACTTTTGCTCTATTTTCCGCGCATCTAGTAAATCTATCTTTGGATCGGGCTACCAAGATAGCAATAGTAAGTTTTTTTTGCTACCTGTAAAAGTCCCTTCCAGTCTTTGTACATCTTCAAACGTCACCGTCCTCCCCCTTATAAAATAAATAAGAGTTTAATTTCTGAAATGTATAATTGAAATAAACGGTGCTGATATCAGATAATACCTTGCACTGAATCTTTATAAAATACCCTCTAAACCACCCGCTTAAATCAACTCCCTTATCACTGGGTTCGTGCCTATAGATATAAATAATGAGTAAATGCATCATCATAATCAAGACCATTAACCGGCCAATGTATCCTATTCACCACAGGCCCGGGGCCGTTCCCAGACAGCCTTTCGGTAACGGAGAAGAACGTTCACAACTATTCAATCATCATATATTAAGAAACTATAAAGTATTTTACATGTATCCTATTCACCACAGACCCGGGGCCGTTCCCAGACAGCCTTTCGGTAACGGAGAAGAACGTTCACAACTATTCAATTATCATATATTAAGAAACTATAAAGTATTTTACATGTATCCTATTCACCACAGACCCGGGGCCGTTCCCAGACAGCCTTTCGGTAACAAAGCTTCGATTCATTTTACACCCTCGAAAACTTCGATTTACTATTACACCTAGTGGCAGCGTACCTTCAGATACATAACCACTCTACAAATACTCAGTGAAATACTCACTCGTAGCGACGTAGTTCGACACCTCTCCCCCTTAAAAGATCTTTAATGGTATTTTCAAACTCTCTTCCTAGTACGACGTAACTTGACATGATTTTGCTTAACATATAAAAAGTTATCAATATTTTTTAATATAAGCAATAGAACGTTATATGTAAAGTTACCTCCTCGAAAGTTGAATGATTTTCACAACCTCAATAATATGATCCATGCAATCTACTGACAACGCATAAATATCGTGTTAAAACTATATATCGTTTAAAGTAGTAAAACAAATCTACCGATACACTCTACGAAAAATGCTTACATTTACAAGCAAATTCTTTTTTGGCTCGTTCTCGGCCTGCATCCTTTGTAATGGTCGGCTTAATAATACGGGAGCAAATTATTATCAAGTATATGTAAAACCAAACTTGTGTTCTTTATTTTGTTTAAACATATGACTACAGTTCAGACTTTTTAATGTTGATTTGGATGTGACTTATGGACATTTAAACTCAGTTTTAAGTATACAATGAATAAATTTCATGAAAGACTTTCAGTGTTTTTGATAATTATTACCTTTATTTTTAGTCCCATAAATCTTGTTCTCCTTAAATTCTAAATTTAGATTTTAGAGTTAGTGTTCGTTACGTGAAAGTAACTTTTTTCCAGGAAAGAGTTGATAATAACATTCTAGACAACTTGTTTGCTTGCTGATTTATCATGTCACATGACAGTCGTCCAGTCACGCGACAAACGCGACAACTAGCTACATTGTACGCGCTCCACCTTTAAAGCTTTATTTATCTATGTTACTTAGCCCTTTACTATACGAAAGCACACGAACATGAAAAACGGACGACGATCAAGTTTACACATACGAGGGCGAAGAGCATCTTCCATTGGAAATGGATTTACAGGTGACTTTGTTAGTCATGTGTATGCGCATCATATCTATCATATCATGCTAGTCAACCAGAGTTATTAACTCGTATTGCTATTGAAATTCTACAATCTCTCATACTTCATGGTTGTCGCAATGTCTATCTTGAAATGCAGCAAAGCCTCACGAAAGTGTGGACCCGAAGGATTACTATCGACATATAAATGTAGATATGCCTGAATACAACAGAATGAGACAATTGCTTATTTGGTGCGGTCAGAGGACCCTCGAGCATCAGAAATCTAAAAGCAGAAACGCGATCAAGATAGGTAACGACAATCGCGTGCGTGCTTCTGTCGAGTTTACAAATAGCCATCATATCTAAGGATTCGTAATGAACACAGCAAAAACGGTAGAAGAAATAGTAATTAATGGATTGATAAGTGGGCAAATTAATCCGTCATGGTATACTCGAGAGGTAAGCGTCGAGGTTCTATAAAGCGGACCTTAAGTCAAGTCATTCGAATTCGCCGTTAATGCTTTAGGATACCGAAGATCATGCCGATAAACCAGCGAAGGAACCCCATCCTGGGAACATTATGAACGCCAAACGATTGGAGGAATACAAAGCCATCTTGGAAAGGTCATAAAAGATATAGTTAGCAGACTTATGAATGTAACATTATTACCTTTATCTGATCTTGAATGTTTCATCACAGACTCCAAACAGAGGAGGATCAATTGATCTCATTAACCGCACAGTACCACACTCTCCATGCACGGCTTTTGGACTCGTGTGCTCCGTTACCGCTTGATGGTGGGTCGATCAAAATGGCGATAACGGATGTTGATTTATCACCGCTATCAGAAGAGGATCGCGCATTTATGACAGAATATTGTTCTTCTGATACGGATGGTGAACGTGAATTGGATGAATCAGTAAGAGCACTCGTTGAACGTTACCCATTCCAGGTATTGTTTGGTGGTTTTTTTTTCCCCCTATCCTTTTATTGCTTATTTATCACAAGAGTTACGAATGTTTTAACATTTATACCAGATCGATAATCTGAGGAAAAGACTGTACCAGGCTTCTATTTTTGATGAAATTACGCATTTATATTGCGAGCAGCTTATGTCAAATTTGTTGGCTACTGTTCGTAAGAGAAATGAGGGCAACATGCAGACAAAAGCAGAATCGAGCGACGTGTTGAGAGCATTAACTCGGGCAACATGTTGATAATAAATTAACAGAAGGACTTTGTGTCATAATCTAGCAAAAAATTCGCGTCCCGCGTTTTTGTGTGTTTCTGCGTCCTTTTTTGGTTTTCTTATGACAAAGACAAACAAACAAGGTCTACAAAATGAATCATCCTCTACCTTTTGGATTGAAGTAAACATTGATTTAATCCGATAATACTCTTGTTTAACTGTTTCTTTATTTTCTCAACATTGATCATGGTTCCTCCATCCTGATAAGTTGGTGAACTGCACATAATTTGGTAATTTTTTGAAAACGCTTTTAAGTCATTTCTCCCAAAAATTGAGTCAAACTTTATCATATCAGCTTACAGACTTTGATAAAATGGCTTATCGGACATTGGACTAAAGTATGCATGTACCACAAATTTTCTTGAAGAGTCACAACGGAACAAAATACAAATGTTAACTGGATAGGATTAATGAATAGCATCAAACCTTTTAATACTGGCCTCTAAAGGATGCATTTCAGAAGCTGACACTATATCTGCAGAAATGTTCATCATGTGCACCATTTGTTCACAAACCGGGCTGCACAACTCGGACACCACTCACATGCCATGCTTCTTTAACGGCAATGCTTAATACACAACAAAAGCCATGTTTGACAAATTTTTACCAGCACGATTGCTCCTCTCTCATGCATGTAATCTATTCGGTTTCACTTGAGTGTTATTTGGCCTTGCTTACGGGGAAATCTATTCTGCGCGACGTTGATTGGATGCATTTTAATATATTTCGTTCATCATATATCATATATACAAAATCCCATTAGTATAATTTCCTATTACTGCAATAATGCAAAACCACACAAAAATAATATACGATGGAAAATTTTCTGCTAATGGAAGAGACTCTAATCCACGGCTCAGCAGAATAAATGAGAATGGATCAATAAACTATTAAAAATAACTAATATTCTAAATATGTCAAACATGCAGGGATGAATCTAATATAAAATAATTGGTAATTAATAAATAGGTATAAATTAAACAAATCAACGAAGAATATGGAACATGGTTTGTCGCTTTTCAGCGCGAATCTGCTTTCGTTGTTGAATTTCCATGATATGTGTCTCACAATATTGATGATCCTCGAAATTATAGTATGTGTCGGTTAGTGGGTCATGACAGATCTATAATGTTAGATATTGATGTTAGCACTTCTTTCCATAAAACTTAATCTCTAATACATATTAATATAAGTAACAAGAACTACTTACAAAGCAGGTAAAGCAGCTTGGATGATATCTCCAGCCTTCCACTGTCTGTGCACACGGACCTTCAATTGGATCGTCACAATTTTTACATAGCGAATTGTTGAGTTTATGATAATGACGCTTGCAATACGGTGCGTTATTGAATACGTAAAAGGATTTGTTCGGGAATGGTTTACGACAAGTCTGAATAATAAGCGGGTGGGTAATTAGTACGCGAAAATGTACACGATACCTGAAAACAATTGTAATTATGCGATAATTTACCTGACAACAAAAGCAGCTTGCATGCCATTTGCCCTCTAATTTTCCATCACTCGAACTTACTGCTTTCTCCACCGGACGATTGCAAGCACGGCATTTGGGCAAGAATAAATCCGTGAAATCGTGGGGACAATATACTTTGTCATTCTTTTCTACGTGTCCAACGTCTGGGTCAATTGGTTTATTACATCGTGCGCACAAAAGATGATGAGGATGCCATAATTTGTTTAATGCTCGCAAGGGATTAGATAATATCGGTCCGTTACTAAGTAATAGCGTAAAATATAGGAATGTTAACATGACTACGTCTAAATAACGATTTCAGGATACTTAATAATAAATGATAATATACCAGTAGGCACAGATATCGCTTGTAGCACTTGCATTTCGTGAGTGATAGGCTTTATTCTGGCTATCATGTTCGCTCATAGATGACGTTGAAAGACTACTCATTTCTTTGAGCAGATCATCCATCAGTGTGTCGACGCCACCGGTATTCTGAGTATTCGCAGTACTTACGGTATCTCCACTAAATTTCCTACCTAGATAATTATTAGATTAATATATTTGTTACTTGATGCGGCATGAGCTTAACTGGAAAATGAAAACAACCTCGTGATGATTGCGTAGAGCTTAATGACGAGAGAGATCCACTAGCACTGGGTGTTCTGTTATGTTCGGGAGACGATGATGGCAGATAGGGTCCGGATGATGGAATATTATTTGGATCGTTAGATGCTTTGCGAACTGGCGGCTGCCTATTATTATTTTCGTATCCATACTGCTGATAATTGTTCTGCCTCTCGTATGAAGGTCGCCGGGAATGGTCGTACTCGGTATTTGACTGTAGCTGGTTAGGATTAGGTGGGTTATAATTTCTATCGTAATCGCTTCTGTCGTTTGATCGATCGTAGCCACCCGGAGATCGGCTTCTTGCAGAATAGTCGTTCCGCTCTCCTCTTACCCAGTCCCTTGCATTGTTATGGCGATCATTAGGGTTCAGATTATCATTAGTATGATACTGGTCGAACCTCCTGTCTGACCCGGGTTGATCTCCATTAGTACGATATTGATCGAACTTCCTATCTGACCCGGGTTGGTCTCCATTAGTACGATATTGGTCGCGCATCCTATCTGACCCTGGTTGATTTCCATTAGTACGATATTGGTCGTGCATCCTATCTGCTCCTGGTTGATTTCCATTAGTACGATATTGGTCACGCATCCTATCTGCTCCAGGTTGATCTCCATTAGCACGATATTGGTCACGCATCCTATCTGCTCCAGGTTGATCTTCATTAGCACGATATTGGTCGCGCATTCTATCTGTTCCAGGTTGATCTCCTTTAGTACGATATTGGTCACGCATCCTATCTGTTCCAGGTTGATCTCCATTAGCACGATATTGGTCACGCATCCTATCTGCTCCAGGTTGATCTCGCGTTTTATCAACGCCATACACATCTCGGTTTCTCTCGGGCGTATATTGGCCGCGTGGATTATATGAATTATTAGCGGTATTATTATTGAAAGTATTTCCTTGGTTGCTTCCAACCCCATTAGAATTTGGTTGGTAAGGTCCCGCCCGCGGCACCGAAGGTTCGGGGAATTTAGAGTTACCGAAATAATCGGTTCTGCTGTTATCAGAATAAGGAGCTTCTACTGGAGAGGTTGTGAATTGATTTGTAGAGGACTCTATGGATTTGCCGGTAAGCTTGTTATACTTTTTCAGAAAGGTATTAGGGGAGTTTCCGCTGCTGATACGCGAAGCCTCTGGAGGGTTGTTGTAATTTGCTGGCATACCCGAATATCCCGTATTCACAGGCATTGAAGGAGGATTTTCATATGGGGAGCGTGGTGATATCGGGGAGCGTGGTGGTTGCCCATAAGCGTTGTATGGATTCTGGCCTGTGATAACGGGAATAGAAACAGAATTATATCTCTTTTCGTAAGCCCAGCAACAAGTTTGCTAGTAATTGACTAGTTAATTGACGCCCTCATACCAGGAACCGAAATGGGATTAAGGGTCGGTCTTGAATTATTGTTGTTATCTAACTTCTTTATGCCTGGAAACATCATTGGGCCGCCTAAAAGGAAGGGAAATATGATTAGAACGTGTTAAACTTGCAAAGTAGACGAGGCTAGCAACTAAAGATCTAAAATAGATAACTCTCACTCTAAGTGTATTCCCCGATAATCTGAACAATCACCCAAGCCTTACACAGCTGACTACCGTACAGTCTGGTAAGGGATGTAGTGAGATTGTCTTCTGTCGACGAAGGATTTGATGCCATTAAACCTACCTGGATTGAGACCAGTCGAAGAACCCATATTATTTTTAAAAGTTGCTGGTAAATTAGGAACTGCTGGAGCAGCCTTGCAGATATGTGAACTCAACTTTCGAAATTCTACGGGAACTCCACAATCAGAGCATTTTACTGTTGCTAGTATCTGGCTAATGCGTTCTTGCTGTACATCCATACTATGAATTGTAATGGTTTTTCGCCAGTAGCAAAGAAAAAAAAGAAAAGGTGTTGGTAAACGAGAATGAATTGAAAGGACGTCAAAAATGCGGTTATGGCAGCTCAAATAGATACAAGAGCATACCCAATTAGGTAAGTACCAATTTCCAATACCCCCCAATACTCGTAACAACTTCCATCTGTGCAGCAATGTTCCTTCTTTGGATAGTGTCGAATTCGTCTAATAAATGTCTTACTTATTAAATTTAGCGGCTTTCCTTATACAGTAAATTACGGCAATTAATGGAAATGCAAATCTCCACTAAATTTGGTGTTGGTATAAGGTCAACAAACCGTGGGGCATGTCTAAAATTGCGTATTTAATTTTAAACCGTTCAAGGCTCCTTTTTTTGAACTTGACATTATTGGTGGGAAATTCGTTCCTTCCATTTACAAGTAAATCAGATCGTCAAGATTAAAGTTATTTAGATAGCAGACTAACCGAATAAACAAGCTTGTGAATCTGATGAATTGTGCTGGTTTCGAACACAAGCATTCTGGCATAAGGGCAAATATTATCCAAAACATCTAAGCCACTTTTGTAATTCCTTCGAAACCCATGTAAATTGTTCTACTTATCTATTTTGCACGCTTCACTCTGTACAACTAAGATAACAACTTGCTCAGTTGTTGATTACATGAACATTCTGTGCTCAATCGAATCTATAATGAGATACATGTGAAAGGTTTCATAGAATATTTGATAGGAATAAAAATTGCAAAACCCGCGTTTACATATAGACGTTCAACTGTGTATGTATTCATTCGCTAAAAACGTTCTGAATCATTGCAGACATTTTTGCATCCCAAAAGATAATAATAATAATAATAATAATATCATCGTTAATTAAAAACAGACATTCCCTAATTGGATCATGATCAACAAGTACGTTATTAAAAATATTACGATCCAATGCGCCGGTATCCAAATTCAAAATTAGGATTACTGGCGTAGATAGCTTGATAAAATATTTGTCTTATAAAACTCGACTTCTAACATGATAACACAGCTACTAATGGCGTTGCTTAGTAGATATTATTACCCCTACCACTATACACTTATTCTACTATATTGTTGTTGTTGTGTTCTTGCCTACCATTCACAGACCACAAGATATATGCTCGGTCGTACGGTCATTGCAAACATGCACCTTCATTTCTTTTTCTGTGAGTTGTGCTCATCGGCCGAAGGAGACAAAGTTTTGTGTTGATTCACACTATCGGGAGGTTGGATACTCCCATAAATATAGTGTGATACACCCCTTCCTTTGTCGACTATATCACATGACATTTTGTTCGAATATCAATTTATTTAGATTCCAAGAATCTATCCTTGCAGAAACCTAAATTCGTTTCTAACATGACATCCAAAAATAATTAGAATGTTCTATTGACTACAGTATTTCCGTTTACCTCCCTATTAAGCCTTTAAAAAACTGATTCGATATTCATAACAGAGTCTTGTTATAATGCAGGTTTTTGCTTTCAATAAAAATAAGCGTTGCAACAAACAAAAATCATCCAACGTCATTCAAACATCAGGCTCGCAGGCCCTGTTTCCATCTCAGTAGGCAAGCCAAAACGCATAATATCAATACCTCTTTATTCTATAAGACTTTCCGAATAGCTTTGTCTTTCTTTGTTTGACGTGATGTGTTTGCTCCTTTTACTCCTTGACAAGTGACGTCATGAACATTTTGGAAAGAGTCTCTTGATTGCTAAATGGGTTATTTGCTATCCGTAAACAATATCCAATTGGAGCGGTTATATTTTAACTACAAGAGGCTGAGGTTCTCCTGTTCCATCAGTCGCCAATTCGATTAGTTTATTACTGTGTTTGGAAAATGCTACCTTTTGGTACAAACGATTAAGATTTGCCTAGCATTAATACATTAGTAAGCGAGAGGAGCATTTTATAAAAAGCTTTTTTGAATGTCTTGAGAATGGAAAAGTGCTATATCCTAGCATATTGTCATCAAGATGTATACCGTTGTGAATTCTCGGATTCGGCAAATTGATCTTCAATAGTAATAGGAGTGAATGATATTATAACCAGAGACAATTCTGAGACTGCTTTAGCCGCGATACTTATTTGTAAGCAATAAATTTGATTTTGGACTCTTATTTTTACAATCTTTGACAATTGTTGTATTCATCGACAGTAAGACAGGCAAACTTGATTCTCTTGCCTTATTCTGTTCCATTGACGTTAGAATTTTAATCGAAAAAGTAAATAGATCAACTAAAAGAAAAATTCAAATTAGTAATGTAATAACGGAGCAAGCGAAAAAGGACTTAAAAAGATTGGCCTTATTTCTGGTAATAAAATAAGGTTGGTTTGATCTGCGATCTTGTAGAAAGTATTGAGTAGTCGTATTTAAGAATAAGACTATTCGGATGTATACGTATGAGGTGTGTGGTTGATGGAGTTGATGGTTGATGAGAATTGTATGTCAGGACAAAGGGAAAGCCTCATTCTAAACAATTATCATGTTTTTTTTTTTAAGCTTGCAACGTTTCTGGGCCTGTCAAATTTGTCAAAACCATGATTATTTTTGAAGGGTTCGTTTGTTGAGGGCAGGCTAATTGACTTACCCGTTAAGTTAATCCCGACTTCTTAAATCATTTGATTCTCCCGATTCGATTGATAGAATGCCCAACGTTCAGTTAATTCTTATGTTTCTGTCAAAACGAATGTTGTCTTTTCGTTAAATGCGAGATATAAGAACGTTACAAAGTTAGTCAAATATAGTTAGTCATCGTGTATGGATTAAACTGTGAATACCCATAGTAGAGATATGGAGTTGACATTACGCGGATGAGACAGGAATAGTTTATTATTCGTTATCTATAAGTAAAAATACTAACAGGTGATTGGCTGTATTACAAAAAAAATCCCTCACGCGCGGAAACATGTAACATCATGTCTTTTTCTTTGAGGTCGTGGCACATGTTGAGCCGCCTGTTTCAATGGGTACAATATCAACAGCATTTGCAAGAAGAGCAACAACGACAAGTCCAGCAACAAGAAGAAGAGCTTGGTATGTTGCAAGCTCAGCAAGCTATAGATAGGCAACAGTTTCAGCTTGTCTTTAATCAGGACCAACAGCAGCAACAAAAGATAGACTTGCTGCAACGGAAAATATTAAGAGAAGAACAGGAACTAGAGGTGTTGCAACAACAGTTATATCAACAGCAGCAGCGTGATCACTTGATATGCAACTGGTTTGCACCGTTTCTGTTCACAGTGTGGGCGGGCACACTACTAAAGATATGGTTCTATTTTAGACAATCATCTACTTAGGGTTTGTATGTTTGTTTCTTTATGTTAAAAGATTGATTCTTTGATAGTGAAATACAAATGTATAGTATGTACAGGGGTTGCAAAAAAAAAAAAGCTGCTTTTGACAAGATATTTACATAAATGGACTATTCATTATATGCGTAAAGCAAACAAGTTACTTTTTTTTTATCAAAATTTCGCTCCATACCATTACTGTTTGTCGTAATTTTGGTAATTTCTAACCGGATTTTCTCTGTTATCGTAACAAATAGTTCAATTACGTATTTCTCAAACTTTACAAATTGACTGGATGTATGATCATGTGTGTTTAAGCGGAAAAAAGTCAAGAGTAATAAGATGAAAAATTTTTTCGTAAAAATAATCAATGAAAGCAAACAAACATAGTTAAATATAGTAATTATACGCTTTACTATTCTAGAAATTCATTTACAATTCGTGCACGTTTTTTTCGCAGCCCATTATACGGTATATAAAAAAAAGGGATCATAACTCGAATGAGCAACCATAATAATAAGTATGTATACTTATTGTTCGATCAGAACAGTTAGCTAACTTTGTAACCATGCATATAAATAGTACGTATTGAATAAAGAAATCCAACTAAAGTGCAGCCAATATTATTTTCTACAAGTAAAAGTGCTCTAAGTGACAAATGTTAACAATTATATTAATTGATGTCTTGATGGAATAAGATCATGACATTAATAAGATTAAGTTAATAAATTTAACCAATGAATAATTTAACGCGATTTATAATTGCGTAGAACTTTGCGCTGCTATTAATATTTTCTAGTTATTCTCTTGAAGACAATCAGATTGGGGTTTAATTAACCCGTTAAGGGACTACCTTCTAATAGTTCAGCCTGGACTTATTAACTACATTATAAAAGTTTGCTTACAAAAAATGGTTCTTTATAAGCAATTAACTGACATACGGTATTTAATATTTTCTCTTTTATTTCTTTTATGTTATCCTTTGTTTCCAGGAAGTTGGTTTTATACTAACGCAATAAATGAGAACTGTGCCAAAACCGAGAGATCAATGATGAATATTGCTGCTGTTAATACATATTATAAATATTATACAACTTAAAGTATAGTTAGCAAAAGTTAATATTAATCAAGAACACCAAATCAGCATACAAATAACATTATCGAATTTAGATTTCTAAAAGAAATAGAACTCAATATAGAAGGAGTGCACCTAGGAAGTATAATCTAATTCAGATATTTCTTTTCAATGGAAATCGATCAGAAACACTAAGCTGATATACAAAAAATCATATAAGTGATTAAACCATTATAGATATTGAATTTGACTTTCTAAAGGATATACAAGGTGTCTACCCATCAAAGTGATCAAAATTATACATATTAATGTGTCAAGAATTACAAAATGTAACACTTTCGAGTGTGCCAAGAATTATAAAATGTGACACCTTTGAGTGTGTCAAGAATTACAAAATGTAACACTTTCGAGTGTGTCAAGAATTATAAAATGTGACACCTTTGAGTGCGTCAAGAATTATGATATTCGACACATACCTGAGTGGTCATAACCTAAACTAAGTGGAAATAACAGAATTATGTTATTTCCACTTGGGCCAAGGAAATTTAGACGACTGTATATATCTATGTTGCATTGTTAGTTATAAAATCGCGGCTATTTATTCGGTGATACAAACTTTCATGTAGGGCAAAAATCGGTATTTTTTTAAACATATTCCACTGAAGCTGATTGGTAGTATGCCAAAAAGGTAGAAAAATGTATTGCCAACGGTGGTTGGCCAATAGATATTAATATGGTAAAAAACGAAAACAAACCATCTACTGAAATTGATCAATTTTATAAATTTAATGAGTCTTATTTTAATAACTTACCATTAACAAATATTTCACATAATATATATAATTTAATGTTAATATCAACATTCTTGAGACCAGAGCTTTCAA